GATGGGATGGGATAAGGAAAGGACTGGGATCCCACACTCCCCCCTTTTCCCCCTGGAAATGGCAGGAATGAGCCCCCCCGACTCCAGGGGGTTATCCCAGCCCAGCGCTCCCAGTTCAGCCCAGTGCTCCCAGTCCAGCATTCCCAGCCCATCCCAGTGTCCTGTATTCACCTTCCCCAAATCCCAGGGCAGAGGGACTGGGAAGCTGCTGGGCTTTAATAATTTAATTAGTTCATTAATTACACCGACACCGCAGGATCCGCTGGAGTGAATCCCGCCCATCCCAACTCCCCCTGGGATAAACACGGCTCCGAGACCTTCAATCCCTGGTTTTCCCCAGGAAAAAAGCCCAGGAGCGGGCAGAGTTTGGGCATGGAGCTCCCAAAAAACCCTTCCAAAGGATGTTCCTGCTCTCCCAGGGATGGATCCAAGGACATCCCGCCTCTGGAATTAAATAATTCCCAGCTCCCGGTGTGGTTTAGTAACAGGACATCACAGCTGGGTCAGGGCCACAGGAGCGTGATCCGGCCTCACAAATTCCAGGGAAAACGGGAGAATCCCGTGAGGCAGCAGCGCTGGGATTGCTGGGAGCAGGGAATCCCAGCCCCGCCCCCGTTATCCCAAATACCCGGAGCGGGATATCTGGGAAGGGCAGGGCAGCCAAGGTGGGTCCAGGCAGAGGGAGGGAGAGGGATCCACAGGATTCAGCTGCTTCCCAGTGGTTGGGAAGCACCGGGAAGCACCCAGGATGCCGAGTCCCCTCTCTGTTGGGAATGTGGGAATGCTGGGAATGGCCCCCCCTCAGCTCGGCACAACCCGCTCCGGTCCCTTCTTCCCTCTGGGATTGCAGGGAAGGTGCAGGAGAGCAAATTCCAGCCTGGATTTCACCCCCCCAAAATCCATGGATTTATGCCAGATGCCCATGTGCACCCAAAATCCTTCCCTCTCCCTTTTCCCTGCCCTGGGATTTCTTAAAAAGCAGGAAAAATGTCCAGATAGGGGTTGGATGAACCAGCTGGCTCCAGGATCGTCCCAATCCCGCGGCTTCACCCCCTCAAAATCCGTGAGAAGAGCCCCCAGCGATCCACGTTTTCCAGCCCCAAATATTCCCCCTTGGAAAAGGGGGGATGTTGAACCTCTGAAACGGCTGGAACAGTTGCCAGGAAGAACCAAATTTCAGGAGACGAGGCCCCTGTGGGATTTGATGGGTTTCCTCCACCTCCTCCTGCCATTCCCTGGCTGGAAAAACGGCTGGAAAAGTCAACGGGATGAAACAAATTTTGGGAGCTGAGATCCCTGCGGGATCCAACGCCGGGTTCCCTCCACCTCGTGGCTCCAAGGAGTCAGGAACAATGGGAATGGGATGAGCCAGTCGGCTCCAGAGGCGTCCCAGCCGCTGGGATCAACCCCCAAGATTCCCAGCTATCCCGAGGAAGCTCCCGGGATAACTACGGCTTCAGCTTGAGCCAGGGATGGAGGATGGTGAGGATGGAGAGCACGGAGGAGGTGAGGCCGCACAATCCCACAAATCCCGGGCTGCTCCGGCACAGCCCCAGCTTTTCCAGCGGGATCACCAGGTCGCAGGCATTCCGGAGCAGGTCCAGCAGCAGCGGGGGGTTGTCCCGGAGCACCTGGAGCAGGAGCCGGAGCTGGAGCTGCAGCTGGAGCCGGAGCCGTTGGATCCCGCCGTCAGCCCGGAGCTGGGGCCGGTTTTCCGGGCTCTTCCCGCGCTTCCCGGCCGCCTCCGCGCGCTCCAGCAGCACCCGGATCTCGTAGGCGTCCCGGCTCAGGTTCACCACCAGGGCAAACAGGTAATACCTGGGAAAAACAGGGAGCAGGGATGGCACAGCGGGAAGCAGCAGCAGCAGGAGGAGACTCCGGCCACTCTGAATGGAACGGCAGGAGCTGCTCTCCCAAGGGAATTCCATTCCCTGTCCTCACTCGGGAATTCCACTGCCTGCTCTCCCTCAGGAAGCCCATTCTCTGAGCTCCTTCAGGAATTCCAGCACTTGCTCTCCCCACAGGAGTCCCATTCCCTGCTCTCTCCAGGGGGAAATCCCATTCCTTGCTCTCCTTCAGGAATCCCATCCCCTTTAAGGATCCCATTCCCTGTTCTTCCTTGGGAACCTCATCCCCTTTGATAATCCCATTCCCTGCTCTCCCTCAGGAATCCCATCCCCTTCAAGGATCCCATTCCCTGCTTTCCCTCAGGAATCCCATCCCCTTCAAGAATCCCATCCCCTGCTCTCCCCAGGGGAGAATCTCATTCCTTGCTCTTCCTCAGGAATCTCATCCCCTTCAAGGATCCCATTCCCTGTTTTCCCTCAGGAATCCCATTCCCTTCAAGCATCCCATTCCCTGCTTTCCCTCAGGAATCCCATCCCCTTTGAGGATCCCATTCCCTGCTTTCCCTCAGGAATCCCATCCCCTTCAAGAATCCCATTCCCTGCTCTCCCTTGGGGACCTCATTGCCAACCTTCCAATAACTCCAGTCCCTCTCCTCTCTTGGGAATCCCATTCCCTGCTCTCCCTCAGGAATCCCTCCCCATCCACCTGCCAGACCTGTGAAGGCTTTTCCACCCTCACTTCCACGAATTCCCCCCCTCCCAAATCCCAGGGGCTCACCTGAAGGCCCTCTGGCTCCACTTGTGGCTGTCGAGGTTGGGCAGGATCCCGCTCTTCCCGGCCCACAGGACGTTGTCGCAGGCGAGGAAGAGGGCGCGGTTCAGGTGGGACAGGGTGAGGCAGAACCTCAGCACGGGGTCGGGGAGGTGCAGCGAGCGCTGGGCCCCCCCCAGAGCCTCGGCCGAGCCCCCCAGGCGCAGCACTGGGGGAGAGACACGGGGTAGGGGGTTACTGAGGAGGGAAGTGGGGACGCCCGAAGCCCCTCTGTCTCTCCTGGAGCCCCCAGTCCCCCTTTAAGAGCTCCCCATCTCACCCAGAGTCCCTCGGCCCCCTTTAGACCCCCCCTTTCCCCCCTCCGGAGCCTCCCGTCCCCCTTTAGAGCCCCCCATCCCCTCCAAGCCCCCCCGTCCACCCCAGAGCCCCCTATACCCCCAGAGACCCCCTGTCTGCCCCCAAAGCCCCTCGTCCCCCTTTAGAGCTCCCTGTCCCCCCC